GCTTGGAGGGAGGGGCACCAGCCCCGGGCACGCGGCTCTTGGAGGTGGCCCCGCCCCCGGGCGCGCTGATATGGGGGGGCCCCACCCCCAGGCGTGCGGCTATGGGGGGTCCCGCCCCCTGGCGCCCAGCGGGCGAACGGCCACACCCCCTGGCGCCCGGCAACCTCCAAAGGTTGGGGACCACTGATCTAGATCAAGTGTCTGTCTAACCTGCTCTTAAAAATCTCTCGTGTCCCCTCTCAGACTTCTCTCTTCCAAACTAAACAAGCCCAGTTGTTTCAATCTTCCCTCCTAGCTCCTGTTCTCTAGACCTTGAATCATTCTTGTTGCTCTTCTCTGGGCCCTCTCCAATGTCTCCACATCCTTCCTGAAATGTGGTGCCCAGACCTGGACACAAGACTCCAGCTGAGGCCCAGTCAGCGCGGAGCAGGGCGGAAGAACGACTCCTCGCTCGCAACACTCCTGCTAACGCAGCCCAGAGTGGCGTTAACTGGGTTTTTGTTTGCATCCGTCTCACACTCTTGATGATTATTTAGCTCGTGGCCCACTCTGATCCCGAGATCATTTTCCTTGGGACTGTTTCAGCTCCGTTCTCCTTTTCAGGGAAACCAACCTGAAGTTCAGACAGGCCCTCCTGGCCACGCACCAGGAGCTGGTGAATGAGGCGAGCATGGCTGCCTTTGACGGTGAGTATCCCACAGGAGACAGGACACGTTCTCCCCCCCCCCCCCCCGCTAGGAGCCATGGGCAGGAAGAGCAAAGCTCGGCTGTGCCGGAGACAGAATCTTTTCTGCAGCTGGTGCGAGTCCAGGGGATGAGTCCCCTGGGGCCTGAGGGCTGCTCCAGACCGGCCCACCTCGCCTGCTGCAATCCAGACACCGCGCAGGGGGGATAGTTACTTAAGCACCCTGCCACCATGAAACACCCACAGCCTGTGTGTCTTCCCGGAGCAGAGCGAAAGCCCGAGAGGTGGCTGCTGTCGCGCAGGGCGAAAGGCGCGGCTGGGGGGGTGCAGATGCCACGGACAGTATAACCCCCCCGAGAGACTAGAACTGAAAACCTGCCGACCTGCCGTGGGAGGCCAGATTCACTCCTTTTGGTGCCAGGGGGTGGGAGCTGGTGGAGCCAGGCAGTGGTCCCATTGCTGCCTGGCCTTGAGGCTGCAAGGGCTATATTGTGCAGCCCCCGCCCCGGCCAGCTCTGCACCCCGAGGGCTCCGCCTGGCTCCCTGCAGGCCCCTTCCCAGAAGAGGGGCTCTCAGAGGCTGCGGTGAAGGAACCAGCTAGATTCCAGACTAGAGAGACACAAGGGGAGGTCATGGTGGGCGTTGTGCCCCTCGGACTGCTCTGCCTGCGGTGAATTTACAGCAGCATAACCGAGATCAGACTTGGACTCCAACACGATACATTGCGTATTGGGGTCAAAACAGTCAACCCCTGCTTGGGAAAGCCCCCGCCCCTTCCGCCTGAAGCCCCGCCCCTGGGGCCAAGCCCCACCCATTTCCCCCTGGACTTAGGTCTGTGTTTTCAGGAGTTGTCCTCAGCCATGTCCCCAGGTCCTTGCTCCTCATTCTTGCCCACAGCGCAGCCAAGACCGTCAATGGCTCGTGAGGGTCAGGACTCCGCGGGTTCTGTTCCCAGCTGCTCCACTCCCGGGCGGCCTCAGTGTGACCCGCGAGACAATGCCGAGGACCCCACAGCTGGG